AGAGAAGGGGTAATAAAAGAAGAAAGAATGTACAAAACAATAGAATACAAATAAGACGGTAGACTTAAATCCAACTATATTAATAGTTGCATGAAATATAAATGGTTTTATATTCTTCAAGGAAAAAATAGTCAAGCTGGATTTAAAAATAGAAGCACAGAAAAATTACAAGCGATTTGCAAAAGACATTTGAAATATAAAGATGTATTGTTTAAAAATAAGGGATGGCAAGATGTATCATGCAAATGCTATTTAAAAGAAAGCTGATGTAGTTATTTTACTACCAATGTAAACTTTAAGAGAAGGAGTATTACTAGAGATTATAGGAACATTTCATGACGATAAGAGTGTCAATTCATCAAAAAAGACATCACACTCATAAGCATATAGGTACCTAATAGCAGAGCTTCTAAATTCATGACAAAATATGGCAGAACTAAAGGGAGAAATAGACAAATCTACAATTATAGTTGAAGGATTTAACATTAATAATGGAATATCAATGTGAGCATATATTAATAGAATAATAATTTTCAGTTAGAAAAATAATCGCTAGTACGATTAGAAAAAATCTCAATCGATACCATATTGACACTACAGCTTTAAAAACTGTATCTCTCAGGGCACCTAGGTGGCTCAGTCGGTTAAGCTTCCAACTTCAGCTCAGGTCGTGATATCACGGTTTGTGGGTTCGAGCCTCACGTCGGGCTTGGTGCTGACAGCTCAGAGCCTGGAGCCTGCTTCAGATTCTGAGTCTCCTTCTCCCTCTGCTCCTCCCCTGCTTGCACTCTGTCTCTCTTTCTCTCAAAAATAAATAAACATTAAAAAAATTTTTTTAATTGTATCTCTCAATAATTGATACTGCAATTAGAAAAAAAATAATAAAAATATAGGAAATATTTGAACCCTACAATAAACTAATAACATTATTTACTTACATAAATCTACATAAAATTACTGCAGAATACACATTATTTTCAAGTGCACATGGAACATGTACCAAGATAGATCATACACTAGATTGTTAAACAGATCACAGGATTTCATGGAACTCTCCCTTGTCAAATGCTATTCAGAAGTTAAAAGGAAAAAAAAACACACCTCAGAATATGTAATTGTGCTTGGCAATTAGGAATTCATTTGT